GCAGAAACAGCTTACTGTAGGGCTTGTCTGCATCTCCCAGCCTAGTATTTTACTTCTTTTCAGGACTAAAACAAAACAAACACTATTAGCTGGTCTATAAATAAGTGGCCTCTGGTTTCACTCTGCTCATCTCTTTCCTGGTCTAGTTCATTCAGGGCACCATGCTCACACTACGTGGTCATGAGCATCACCAACCCAGGAAGCTTTGTTGAAAAGCGGGACTAGGCTCTTTCAAATGCAGAGAGGGCAGCTGGATGGTGACACACTGCCCAGATATGAATCATTTGTTCTAGGCTTTGAGGAAGAATTTGAAAAGTCACAGCACAGTCAGGAAGAATGCCAAGTTGATAGGATTACTAGAGCAGGGCAGGGTGTGAGTTTGACAAAATGTGGGGTCACAGCGGAGGCCAGCCAGGCTGCGGACAAGCCATTGTTTTGAAAAACAACTACATTGGATGGGCTAGACAGCCAAGGAGGGACTTGCCAAGGAGCTGGGCTTGGATCAAGTGCCCTCCTTAGTTGACACTGAGGACATTGCCACCCTCCTTATGACTCCCTGCACGATTTGTCTATTCTTGGTGGCGTTGAAGGGTGCGGAGGAGGGAGACTGCTAAAACAGTGTCATGACCATGTGTGCGGAAGTTTCACCCTTTTGTCCTGGAACCCCTTTGTTTTCAGGAAAGATATTGGCTGTATTCTGAGAAATGATTTGAAAGTTGGGTTGGGGAAATAAAGTCCCCCCTTTAAGGAAGGACTCCAGACAACTTTACGGAGCGCTGTGAGTGGACTCTGAGCTATCTGAAGGAGTGTTTAATTTGGGGAAACAACCGGAAGAGACAAGCATGACACACGAGTGGGCAGGGAGCAAGTCTATCTCACTGACGGTGCCGCTGGTGTGGAGGAAAGAGGGATGCGTTAACGTATGAGGCCAGGACTACAGACGTAGCGAAGGCAGGGGGAGAGGTCGGTTTAGTGGACAAGCCGGCAGTTAGAACGGGGTGGCAGTGAAGCTTTTTGGGTCAACTGTGCCCAAGTGGGTGGCATACAAGGCTCAGTTTCCCCCAGAGCTCAGAGGCCACCTTTCTGTGTGTCTCTTGCATTCCGGGATGGATGGACTCCATCTGTAATTCTGATTAGAGCCCTGTAGGTGGGGAATTGAGAAAAATTGAGTGGGTGACCACAAGTGAGTTGAGAGTATAGGGAGAAAGTGACTGGGGGTAAGCAGAAGGGAACCACAGAAAGAATTCCGTCAAAGAGAAGGAAGTGTCCTCAGAAGTCAGTGGCCAAGCAGAGGCTTGATGTCGGGAATGGTTGGTGAGAAAATGTGTCTCTGGTCATCACAGCCCCACCTCCTCCTCCTGGGAGGCAGAGTTTGTCAAGGGTGTGTGTTTCTTGAACCCCTACTGACATTGTGCTCTCACACAGATGTACAGGTGAGAAAAAGTGATGTGGACTTCATGCTCTCAGATGTGGGGTGGGCGTCATGGGGGAGAGAGGGGCTGGTAAGGTAAGGGTGCAAAGCGCATGGGCGCTACATACTGATCACACTTGGGTGTGAACGCTCCAGAAGGCCCTCTCAGTTCAGACAAGAAGGACAAACGGGAGTGCAGACTGTTCTCAGACAGAACAAAAGGGACCGAGGCCGGTTCTTTAAACCACAAAGGTGGAGCTGTGGGGTGTCTGTACACAGTCAGGCAACGCTGATGTTCAGACATTGCAACTTGGCCTGTTTTGCACTTTTGAAAGAGTCCAGAAGAGAAAGAGTGGGGTGGCCCCTGGCAGAGATGAAGGGGAGCAGATGGATCCCAGGCTGAGGAGAAGGTCACGCTAGCACAGAAGATGGGGGAGAGAACATAGGATCTAGGGGTTCGGGGAAGGCCAAGTTTTTCCTTCATGTTCTGAATCCTTGCAAAGGAAAGAGGTGATGAGAATTAGCCTGGAGAAACAGACAGGAGGGAGCCCTCTGGGCCTGGGCCTTCCAGTTGAGTGCTCGCCTCCGGAGGCGAGGCCTGGGCTCCAGTCCCTACTGCTGCAGCAATAGAGTAATTAAAATAAAACCCACCGGTCTTCTAAAGAGATAAGGTGAGGAGAAAGGGCTCTGGATGAATTCACACTTGGGAAGGGGGAACATTAAGGTCTGAATTGCTATCCACAAAGGAAGGCCTGGAAGCCTGTGGCAGAGTGGCATTCTCCACTCCGTACGTCTTTGGCGAATTTGAGCTGTTCAGAGAAACTGCAGAGAGGGATGACCACAAAGCTGTCCCTGGCACATTCCTAACACAAACAGAGGATGCTGGTGGAGCCCTCTCCATCAGCTGCGCCTGTCTAGGAAAGATCTGTTGTAAGGAAAAGGGGATGGGGTTTGGCTTCTGCCGCGCAAGCAAGGTCCAGGTGTCTCTCAGCTGGGAGACCCGGTGGGTGGCTGTGCACTTCCCCACAGCCTTCTATATCCACAGGCCCCTGACCCTGGGTAAACACTGGAGCATCTTGCTGCTCTGAGCCTCATGTCTGTGTTTGACACCTGTGCTTATCAGGTATGCAGTGTGTACTTTTTGTTGTTGTTGTTTTTCAAGACAGGGTTTCTCTGTGGCTTTGGAGGCTGTCCTGGAACTAGCTCTTGTAGACCAGGCTGGTCTCGAACTCACAGAGATCCGCCTGCCTCTGCCTCCCGTTTGCTGGGACTAAAGGCGTGCGCCACCCCCGCCTGGCTCTGTATGCGCTTTTCTTGTCATCAGTTTTCTGTAGAGACTAAGACTATTGACCACAAAGAAGAGAGTAACTTAGGGTTCCCTTTGTTCTTATGGAGTGAGGCTGCGGCCCCTGAAGGACCAGGCTTGTAGCAGGGGCTAGAAGAAGAGGGAAAAGCTAGGAGACATCCCCAGAGGGGTGGGGGGAGCTGCTGCTAGGGCAGGAGAGTGCAAAGCTCGTTTGGGTACATATCGCACATGAATTATTTGCATATATAAAAGCACTGCCCCTTCTCCCAGCATCTTGCAAAGTCCCCATCTCAAGTCTGTAGTCAGGAACTGAAGCAGGGAGGGGGGGTTCACAGCTGGAGAGAGGGCTCAGCAGGGATTTTGTGGAGGACCAGGGCTCAGTTCCCAGCATATACATGGTGGCTGGCTCAAACCATCCTTGACTCCAGTTGCTGGGGAATCCCACATCGGCTTCTGACCTCCAAGGGCGCGCAGGCAGAAACACTCATACACATAATAAAATAAATAGATTATCAATACATTTTAAAAAAAGAAATGAAATGAGGGAGCTTAAATTCTAAGCACCAAAGAGACATTACAAGTATTCACACGCAAGTCTTCCTCAGTTCACGAAGCAGTTTGCTTTATTCTATGGAACAGCAGTGACCACAGGGTGAGGAGGAGAACCCTTCTGCTCAGAGATGTGAACCTCAGAATTTCAACTGTCCAGGTAATTCTCATTTCACATTAGAATGATATAAACCCGGCCGTAGGGATTAAAAAAAAAATGCAGCTAGTCTTTTCACTTTCATAGGAAATCTATCAGAGCTACCAGAACTGGGGGTGTTTCTTTTCTGATCTAACTCGGAAAGATAGAGTTTAAAAACATCCACAGCTACAAAGGCCTGCTCCTTCTCCCCCTGCTGAGGCCAAACTATAAGCGTCTGATTATGCTTAGACACCTCGTCCTTTATTTCACACACTAGATTCTTACCACAGAATCCCTGATGGAACCCGTGAACTTTCCCAAATGGACTGATCACAATTTGCCACAGTCACATTCGGGGACATAGTCTTCGAAGCTCAGAGGTGGAAATGCGGTGCGTTGCTCTATGGAATTGCAGAGGGAGAGCGTCTGACTGGCTGGAGCAGTGGCTCTGCTTGGCAATTTTGGGATGCACGCAGCTGGAATAATTTTCAATTCGACCCTTGGCAAACCTTCAGTGTCTAAGAGAAAAGAAGTGGAGGAGGAGGCCCAAGGATTGGACCAAGTAGTGTTCACCCCGCGTGTTAGGCTGGCCGGTGCTGTATCCTGTGTGATTAATGAACACCCTCAGACCTGACTAGTCCATCTATTTGAAGGGCGCAGGCCTGGTACACAAAAGATGTTCAGTGGATACCATTATGTATAAAAATTGTTATGGATTGGGGAGATGTCTGTTAGTAAGTGCTCGCTGGGTGAGCGTAGAGACCTGAGTCTGAAATGACAGACCCACATAAAAATCCAGGCATGGTGGTGCAAGCCTGTAATCCCAGCCCTGGGGAGGTGAAGACAAGAGAATTCCTAGAGCTTGCTGGCCATTTCCACTGAATTAGTGAGCTCTAGTGTCAGTGAGAGACCCTGTCTCAAAAAACTAAGGTGAAGAGTGACTGAGGAAGACAGCAGATGTCAGCCTCTGGCCCACACACACACACACACACACACACACACACACACACAGATACACACTAGATACACACAGAGAGATGCACACACAGAGATACACACATAATATACACACACAGATACATACAGACACACACAGAGAGATACACACACAGATACACACAGATACACACACACTGATACACACAGACACACACACAGATACACACACAGATACACACAGACACACACACAGATACACACATAGATACACACAGAGAGATACACACAGACACAGATACATACACACAGAGCTACACACACAGACACACACACAGACATACACACAGATACACACACAGAGACACAGATACACACAGAGAGATACCCACAGACACAGATACATACACACAGAGATACACACATAGACACACACACAGACATACCCACAGATACACACACAGAGACACAGATACACACAGAGAGATACCCACAGACACAGATACATACACACAGAGATACACACATAGACACACACACAGACATACCCACAGATACACACAAACATATAGATACACACAGATACACACAAAGACACCCATACACAGATATATACACAGAGATACACATACACATAGATACATACACAGACACACACAGATACACACACATAGATATACACACACAGACATACACACAGATACACACAAACATATAGATACACACACAGATACACAAACACACAGACACACAGACACACATACACAGAGATTCTGCCGTGCCGCTTGAAGGTCTTGGGCAAAATCTTACTCTGTTCCCTAGCTTCATCATTACACACCAGAATTCTGTCTTGGCTCGAGTGGCCTATCAGAGCTAGACTGACATAGGCCAGTCTGATACTCTATAAGTCGCACGAAAAATCATTTTTAACCTCCTCTGGCTCTGAAACTGACTTCTTCGTCACAGAGTTTTCGGTCACTCACAACCCCCTTGGAGAACCAGATAAATTTTGCAGCTGATGTAGCCTCAACCTTCTAGGCTGGTTTCTCCCCGTGCTCCCTGGAGGACTAGGTTTGGAAATTTCCCCGAATGTATATCTTCTGAGGGCTGAATTGGACCTTCGGCGTTTCCTGTCCCACACAGGGAACCATACGCTTTCTGAATTATCTCATAGGGCATTTCTCATCTGTGAATCTTTAGAGCCTGAAGTTCATGTTTTTCCCTTCACCCGCCTCTGATTCTTGGTCTCCAAGGGACATGTGTGTATTCCATTAGAGCCCCACAGCTTCCCCGGCTCACGACAAATATGTGGGTTACAGTGTGTACATTTGTCCAGAACACCAAAGGTTACCACTGCAGATTTATTGCCTGTTACATCATTTTACCGTGGGGCTGATTCATAAGATCGGTTTATTTAGTAATTAAATAATATTAAATAAGGCGACTGTACCGGCTCACACCAGCCCTGACTTAGCTCACTCCACTGGCCCCTCCCTCTTGCAATCAATGTCTGATAAGAGGGAAGGGTGGGTACCCACAGGCACAGCCTGGGTCGGGATGTGGCATGGACCTGTCTGTCATCAGGGCCACCGTCTCGGCGGTGGCGGCACAGCGTCTCACAGAACATTCTCTCCTGAGAATTCCCAGCCTAACTCGGGGAGAGACCTTCTTTCCTGGGTCACCATCTTCTCTACTGTTTCCTTGGTTACCTCATTGTTTATGTTCAGAGGGTCTCATTTTCAGCCGAGAACCTGTTTTTCCTTAGTGGTGTCACACGGATCATCACACACAATTTTATACTCCTGTCAACTTTGCAGCTGAACACACAACACTTCTTAGGCTTGGGTAGGAAATCAAGGTTAGGTTTAGTTTGTTAATTTGCTCTTTTCAACAGTTTGTTATTGAAAACTTTTGAGTGTATGGTAATCTGTTAGAGCTAGGCAGTGAACAGTTTTTTGTTTGCCGTAGAATTCTACAGAATTCTATAGTTAGCTCTGTTTGTTTACAATTTTTAAAGACAGGATCTCATGTAGCCCAGGCCTTGAATTTGCTATGTAATTCAGGCTGACCTTACTTCCTGATTCTCTTGCCTAAGTTTCTCAAGTGCTGGGATTGCAGGTGTCCACCAGCACACTCAGCTTAGTTGATGGTTTTGTTCTGTTTCGGTTTGGTTTGGTTTGGTTTGAGTCAGTTTATCGAGACAGGGTTTCTCTGTGTAGCTTTGGAGCCTGTCCTGGCACTCGCTCTGGACACCAGGCTGGCCTTGAACTCACAGAGATCTGCCTGCCTCTGCCTCCCAAGTGCTGGGATTAAAGGCGTGCACCACCACCCAGTTTCAGTTGATGTTTAATGCAGTGCTTTACTAAAACACCATGGGTGCATCTGCCCACCCAGCAATCCATCTTGACTTCTTTATCTTTTGTTATGCAATAATTTTAGAATTACAGGAAGCCTTGAAGAACAGTGTGGAGAATTCCTAGCCACCTCTCTTTTCAATTTTGCAACTAATAGCCTCTGTTTCCCTGTGTATCTTGTTCCGGGATCCCACGTTACATGTAGTTATTATGTCTCCTTGGTTTTCTTCTCTTGCTCTCCACCTTAGCTGTTGAGACAGGGTCTCTCACTGAACCCAGGAGCTCGCCAATGAAGACTCGCTGGCCAGCAAGCCAGAGGGACCTTCGTGTCTCCCGTCTCTGGCGGCACGTCACCCATCTCAGCTACACCTCTCAGACACACCCAGAGGTGTGTCTCCTAGGGGATCCCAGAAGCTGTCCAGTTGATGAACCATCACTTTCCTGATGAGCTAAGTCCCTTCCATGGCCCCGCCTTTTAAAGGTGTCACCACCTCCCAATAGCACCACAGGGAGGGACCAAATCCTCAAGGGACATTTCAGACTTCAGTGGCCTGAGGATATGTATACTTCAGGGAGTGGCCACTCTCCACACACACCTGTCTGCACTGCTAATCTACGGATGAACACCCAGGTTCTATGTGGTGCTACGGATCAGTTCAGGTTCTGATGCTCGGGAAGCATGCCTGTTACCACAGGAACCATCCCCTCAGTCTCCCCAAGCCAGCCAGTGCTTTTGTCTTCAGGATTACAGACTAGAACCCAGACCCTGCTTCTGAATTCACCTATGTTTGGGCTGAGATGACTCGGTGGGTAAGAGCACTGGCTTTGAGACAGAGTCAGATCCTGAGGAATCCAGATAAAAAGCCAGGCAAGGTCACCAGAGCTGCCATTAACTCCGCACTGTGGAGGAGGATCGTGGGGTTGCCAGGCTAGCTCCAGTTTCAGGGAGACTCTCTCAGGGGAACAGTGTGGAGAGCAATACAGGAAGTCATGGTGTGGCATCCACTGTGCCTGAACACACACATGCTCGTGTTGTCATGTACATGTGTAGACACACAACAAATACACAAAATGAGACAAATCACCCAGGCTGTTTTCCTCCCCACCCTCTTCAGAGCAGTCTGGCCTCCACTGATGCTTGGTCAGCTTCTCTCCTTTTGGTCCATGCTGCCTGTCGGGTTTCTTCTACATCTAGGTTGATTCTAAACATTTCGTGCCGTTGAGGGAAGCAGTGTGTCATCAGCATCACGATTCTCAGGCGGAGCTGTGATGTATGGAGAGTGGCCGCTCTGCTCGCTGGAGTCTGAACTGCCCCTCAAAGGCCCATGTATTGAAAGCCGGGTCCCTAGCCTGAGCTGGGAGGTGGTGACCACTTTAAAAGGTGAGGCTTCTTTTACTCTTTGGCATTCTCTCCACTCACCCATGTATTCCTAGTGGTACCCAACCGCATTTGCTTCCGCCTGCCCTGCCAGTGTTAAAGATGCACCCGGGTGCCTCAGTCAAGCCTTTGCCAGTGAGCCCAATCCCCAGCTCTGACTTACCGTTCTTACAGAGTAGCATCTCCGTGGATACTTTCAGGATCCCCCTCTTTCACAGAGTCACCCTGTTCTGGAGGTGTTCAAACCTACAATTCAGCATTTGTGTTTCATTATTTCCTTTTGTTTTGAAGAAAAATTCAAATGCAATAAAAGAAAGGGCTCCTTTAGTGACACCGGGGATCAAATCCCAGCCACTTAGACGCTGGCAGGTACACTCCCTCGGGGCTCTACCCTCAGCTTCGAACATGTGCCTCTCCAGTGCCCCCTCAGATGGCTTCTGCTGGTGCTCAACCCCTAACAAGGCCCATGACCTTCATGACTTCCTGAAACTCCCTCCAGCTCAGTTCTTCAGACAGGTGTTCTAATTCTTCCTACCATAGACAAGCCTTGTCTCCCTGAGAATATCACATAAATGTGGTCTTCATTCAGCATGATGTTTTTGTAGTATGTCCACACCATGGATTGTATCAGCTCATTCCTCTTGCTGGTGAGTAGAGTCCACTGTATACATATACGTAACCATATATGTACATATTAATTACATTGTACGTATACATCCTATTAAAACACAGCCAGGAGTAATGAAGATGTCTACTTATGTGCAGTGGCCCTGGTTTTTTCCTCATGCTTCAGATCCCTCTGGTGACCGTGGCTCGGCTACAGGTGCTTTCAATCTTTTAAAATAATTCTACTTTCAAAGCAACTCGGTACTGAGTGTTGGAGTGACTGGGTAGACACATAGCTGTCCCCTTCAGCAGTTCATCTAACCAGGCTTCCCTTCACTGGTCACTTACTGGACGTATGTGACATGTCCGTCGCTGTGGTGAGTTTGAGAAAACAGGATTGGAAAGGGACAGAAACCCGCTTGGACATCCAAGGTCTATCAATAGGCCCAGTGGCACACGCGTGTAATCCCAACAAGAGTCCAACGCCAGCCTTGGGACCTGAAACCCTACCTAAAATAAAATAAGGGTTGAGGACATACCAGGCTTAATTGGTAGAGTGATCACCTAGCATATACAAAGCCTTAAATTCAGTTCTCAGCATAAACCCACATAAGAGGGGCTTGGGGGCACATGCCTGCAACCCCACTACTCAGGAGCCAATGAAAGGAAGATTAGGAATTCAAGGCCGTCCTCAGCTGCATAGCAAATCTGAAGCCGGAGAGGACTACCGGAGACACTAGCTCAAAAAATAATAATAAACTAAAACCAGATAGAGGCCCCAGGAGCTGAAAACCTTTGTTTACAGACCTCCGTGGTCATCTTCTCTGTTACACCCTGTGGATATACAGTGACGGCTGAGGAGACCCGCAGCTCAGTTGGAAGGGCCTGGCAGCGGCTCTTGTAGTTGTGTGTGGGCTTAGAGCTGGGAGAACACAAGAGGCAGGAAGACGCCAGCTGTTTCCCATCAGTTTGCTGACAACTCTCACCTCTGCAGGCAGCTGCCGAGGCCGCTGGTGGGAGCAGAGGTAGGCGGACAGCCTGCAGCTGCCTCCTCATTTCCTCTGATTTCACGGAGAGAGGGTGGCACATGCCCCCAGCAGCCTTGTGAAACCACAGCTGCTTTCACCTTTTACATGTGCCCAGAGACTGAGGTGTGTGCCCCTGGCATGCCATGATTCCATGGAAAATACTGGAAGGGAACTGTGCTTGCATAGAGCCCAGAACCTCATATATGCTAGGCAAGTGTTCTCCTCTGAGCTACCAATACCCCCCAACCTCCCCTTTCTTCTCTCCCTCCCTTTCTCTCTCTCTCTCCTCTCTCTCTCTTTCTCTTTTTTTTGAGACAGGTTCTCATTATGAAGCCTTAGCTGGCCTGAAGCTTGCTATGTGGACCAGGCTGGCCTTGAACTCATAGCCATCTGCCTATCGCTGCCTCCCAAGTGCTGGGATGAAAGGTGTGTGCCACACCACCCGGCCCCAATCCCATTGAACAACCTGTAAGAAAGTTTCTGGTAGTTCAGTTATCTTTAAACCTGCAAATGCCTTTAAGATGGGGTGGGGGCCGGGGGGGGGGTGGACGACTAGAGTTGGAATGAAGATGATTTTGTTCCAAGATGCTTTAAACAAACATCATGTGGAATCTGACTTTGAATGAATGGGAGTACAGTAAATCTCAAAATATCCCAGGCACTGCCTGCTGCGGCTCACCAAACAGGAAAATGACTTCAGTGCTGTGGTCTTTTCCTCTAGAGTCACACCAGGCAGCTCTTTGTACTCTCTTGAAAACATCTTAATTCTTCCCCAAGCACCATGTTTCTTGGAATTATTCACCGGAAATTAATAGTACTCTGAATCTTAAAGTCATTCAAACCACAAGCGAGTTTGCAACAGCTCCTACCAGCAGTATAAAAAGCGCCCAGCAGTTTACGATAGCATTAGTCATCACTGCACACAGCTCTCTCCCCTGCCCCACCCCAAAGATGCGTATTTCAATTTCCCCTGTGTTAGCTAGGCTTGTGTTGGTACTGACAAGCAAGATAAGCAAGTGAGACACACGGGCAGTGTCGGGCCGGGGCGGAAACTAGATAAGGACAGGAACTTGCGGCAGGAGATTGAAAAACAACAGAGGAGGCAGTCAAGGAGGATGCTTTTGTTCAGGGGTCACCAGAACAGCAAGGAAGAGCAAGTGTGGTACCTAAAGGGCAGGCTGTGCAATGCGCCAGGGCTCCCCCAGGGTGGGGAAGGACAGCCGGGCAGGAGACAAGCAAGGGGCCTGCTGTAGGCAGAAGGCAGACTTTAGGGAGGAGAGAGGCTCACTGGGTCAGCGCTGCAGAGAGGTCCTGCGTGGAATGGCCATCCTAATGCTCACAGGCAGCTCGCCTCTATCCAGGCAAGCGGGGAGAAGGGTGCTGCTCAGCTAAGGAGTCAATGGGTGATGCTGTTTTTAGAAGGCAGTATGCCCTGCTCAGGGCTGGCTTCCTGTGTCCTCCCGAGCACCTCCTGGGAAAGATAAGAGCCTGGCCTTCGGTCCATGGCTGACATGAATTAGACCCCACTTTCCTTTTCCCTCTGCTGCTCTTGACCTTGTGGCAACCCTGGAGCTGCTGCTTGGCCTTCCTGGTTGCTGAGTTTCCTCCTGGAGAGGATAATTATTCATTACATTATGGAATTGTGTGGTCAGTTAATAACCTGGTAACAGCCCCATGGCCGTCAAGGGTTCTGGGTGTCTCTGAAAGAGTCATGACACAAACTGAAGCAGTGACATTAGTGTCACTATTATAAGAAACACATGGAGTGTTGGGACAGGAAAACTGTGGGCGACAGGGAGGGGACGGGCACACAGCTGGAACAGGATGAGTGTCAGGGGGAATGACATTTCCACTCAGGATGTTGTGAGGGTATATGAGTGAGGATTTGGGAAAGGGTGGCCTGTTAGCAGGGTGAGGCGAAAAGCCAGCCCTAGGACGGATCGGTGACAAGAGTCCCGTGGCACTCAGTGTCCCACCTCATTAACACTCAGCCAGCACAGCCCATTTGTGTGCTCTTTATATATTTTGTACTTGGGATTTGTTTTCCCCAGTACTGGGGTTTGAATCGAGAGTGTTGAGCACACTAAGCAAGCAGTCTACTAGCAGGCTATAGGTTTGGGCCATAATTTGTGTTTTTAAGTCCCATGCTCAAAATCGACCAACGTGTGTTATTACTTAAGATGCTGAGGCAGGCAAGATACAAGTTTAAGGCCTGCCTGGGCTGGACAAGTTCAAGTCCAGGTTGGATAATTTATCAAGTAAATTAAACAAAATTTAAGGAGGCTAGGTATAGAGTGTGTGTCCAACTTGAAGGAGGCCCCGGGGTTCAATCCCCAGTATTGACAAAAAAAAAAAAAAAAATAAAAAAAAAAAAAAAAAAAAAAAAAAAAAAAAAAAAAAAAAGAAAGAAAAAAGAAAAGAAAAAGAAAACTATTTACTTAAAACAATTTTTTGGAGCTGGAGAAATGGCTCAGTGGTTAAAAGCGCTTACTCCTCTTCCAGGGGACCCGAGTTCAGATCTTAGCACCCACACTGGATGGCTCACAATGTCTGTAGCTCTAGCTCCAAGGGATCCGATGCCTTCTTCTGGCCTCCTCACCACCTCCAAACACTCTCGAGCACAATACGGTACACATGAATAAAAAAAAATAAGTTAAAAATGATTTTTTAAAAAAAATTGGGATCCAGCCAGGCTGTGGTGGCACATGCCTTTAATCCCACACTCGGGAGGCAGAGGCAGGCAGATCTCTGTGAGTTCGAGACCAGCCTGGTCTACAAGAGCTAGTTCCAGGCCAGGCTCCAAAGCCCCGAGAAACCCTGTCTCAAAAAACCAAAACCAAACAAACAAAAAATTGGGACCTAGCCCTGTGAATAGTGGTGAATGTAGGGATGCTTGGTGCCCCGCATGCTAAGAGTGAGAGACAGTGGAGGGATCAGGCCAAAGCAACATACTCATGTTGTCCCTCTAAGGCCCAGGGAACCATATAGAAGAGGGTGGGAAGTTCAAAAGAGCTAAAAGATAGGAGCAGAGCTATGAAGTGCCATCCATCCCATAGGCTTGACGCAGCCGTTGCAAGCGTGAGTTCACACTGTGGTTACCCTCCCTGGGCCTCCTACATATGACTGATCCTGTCAACAGTCAGTCAGGGAACAGGCAGGTCCCCATCAGACCCTATGCCTCATTGCTGGACTATTGATTATTGGTATATTCTGGGAGATGAATAATCATTGTCTTTAGTTGTGTATCTACTTCTGAGTCCACCAGGGCATAATGGATAACTCCAAAGCCCATGCATGGTTCCACAGACCCCCCGGGCTAAACTCACTGGATCATAAAACAAAATGAATAGACACACGTGTGAGTAAAGAGAGTTCAGACAATAGATTGCCTCCCATGCAAGAAGTCCTGGGTTCCATACCCAGCCAAATAAACCAAGTATGGTGATGTCTGCCTGTGATCCCAGCACTCAGGAAGTAGAGGCAGGGGACCAGAAGGTCAAAGCATCCTCAGCTATATCAGCTACTTGTCTCAAATACATTATCAACAAAGTGAGCCAGGCAAGGGTGGCACTGTATGTATGATGTACGTATGTATGATGCATTTGTTTGTTTTCTCATTTATATTTTGCATGTGTCTTGGAGTGGTGTGCACGTGTGTGTGTATGGAAGCTCAAAGTTGACATTGATTGATGTCCACTTTATTTATTGAGGGGTCTCTTGCTGAACCTGGAGCTGGCGGCCATAGGCAGCTTGTCCCATGGCTCCCATCTCTGCCTTCGGAATATTGGAATTACAGGTGCCTGCCACACATGCCCAGTGAAAAGGAACTCCAGAACTCACACTAGCAAAGCAAGCGCTTTGCCCGTGAGCCACTTCACCAACCCCCCAAGGCTGACATTTTAAGGAGAGAAAAAAAGAGATGAACAAGACTTGGGGACTATTGTCTCCAAGCAGCAGTGTGAGCACCAGGGATGGCTGAAGGGGAGGAAGAGGCACGGATTGTTCTTGTTGAGTCCGCATGAGACTAGAAGATAGAGCTTGTGGATGACCGTGTCAGAGGCGCCATTTCAGCCTGAGGAGTTGTTATCACCAGTGTGGTCGAGACCAGCTGGCCGCTGTCATCTGGGACCTTGACCTCTAGGTGTGTGCTTGCTCAGTGGAAGCCTGGAGCTGCCCAGAGCCTCACCCCTTGGAGTGTGACCTGACCTGTTCTCTGGCTGCTGCTGTTTGGATTTATGTCCCCTGGTGTCCATGTCAGCGTGGCAGCGGACATTAGCTCTGCTCTGCTGGAGAATAAAGGTCATGTATGTACGTGCTCACTTCCAAATGAGCTGTAATTATCTTCCATCCCTGGGACTCTGTCACTCACCTCAGCCCTGTTCACTCCACCCAGTGAGCTAGCTGCCTACTGCGCTCAAACGTGAAGTCACTGCATCTGCTTCACTTAATTCTTGGCATGGCCTTAAAGATGATTTCTGTCTTGAAAAGAGTCCAAAAACTCGGAGACCAAACTCTCAGATGATCCTCCAAAATGCATAGGGAGACACACCCATTCCCAAATGTCAATTGATGTTTGTCACTGGGCTGCAGTGAGTCCCTCAAGGTCAGTAATAGGGGTGAGCAGAGGTCAGAGGGTCCATGGGCCTCTGGTGAGACAATTCAACACATTAAACTTCAAGCAGAAATCCAGAGGCAGAGCAGAGATTTTGGCTTCTTCTTCTTCTTCTTCTTCTTCTTCTTCTTCTTCTTCTTCTTCTTCTTCTTCTTCTTCTTCTTTTCTTCTTCTTCTTTTCTCTTCTTCTTCGCATCTTCATTTTTTAAATTTAAATTTAATTTTTTTTCTTTTTTTCTTTTTTTTTTTTTGCCATGCCAAAGCATTGAACCTGGGGCCCTTTGTATGCTAGGCAGGCACTGGGAGTTTGGTTTCTCAATCTAAATTGAGTTAAACTCCTTCCTGGCTAGAGGAGAGAAGTAAACAAATAGGAGCTCAGCACCCTGGCGTCCAGCTCTGAGCTGCAGCTCACAGGAAAGGGCTGTAAATCCAAGGAGACCAGGCACTTGTCCTGCAGTCAACACTTGTCACCTTTTCCACGAGGGAACAAGCTGCAGTCAAGAAGGCTGGAAAATAAGAATCCCTTAAAATTCCTTGTTGTAAACACTCATCTCAGCAAGTACTTGCTGAGTCTTTGCTGTGGTCTGGAGATGGCTGGGTAGACACTGTCCTTCGAGGTTTGCATGGACTGGCTCCTAAGGTCACCAGGAGCAGCGGCAGTCGCCTGGGGATGAGGGATTCACAGATGAAGCCATCTCAAACAGGCCCCTTGTTGACAATGCTGACTGTGTTTTCCCCTCGGAATAATTGTGATTTATATCGAGAATCAAATGCTAGAGATACAAAGTCATGGTTCTCATTAGCTTTTAGAGTCTCATGGTCAGAAGGCTAAAGAGATAGGTTGGTGGTTAAGAGCAGTGGTTGCTCTTGCTGAGGTCCTGGGTTCAGTTCCCAGCACCCACATGGTGGCTCACAGCCATACTTAACTCCAGTTCTGGGGGAGCCAATGTCCTCTTCACAGGCACCGGGCATGCTGCAGTGCACTGACATCCACAGAGGCAAAACAATCATAAAATAAATCTAAAAACAAGTTACATAGTTCTCATACTAAGTCTCACGACTTGTTGTATCCTTGACCACGTCAATCTTGTGATGTAGTTTTAGCATCCCCATTAAAAATTTAAATATTTTACTTATTTATTTATTTAGGTCTTTTGAGACAGGGTTTCCATGTGTAGCTTTGGAACTTGTCCTGGAACTCACTCTGTAGACCAGGCTGGTCTCGAACTCACAGAGATCCACCTGCTCCTGCCTCCCGAGTGCTGGGATTAAAGGAGTGCACCACCACTGCCTGGCTTACTTACTTAATTTTAAAAAATGCTTTATGTAAAGCAATACAGTTCACATATTAAATAACACCACAATGGAGTGGTTTGATGCAGATTTAAAGAGAAGAAAAAGGGGGACTATTTTAGATTGTAAAACTTGGTGGGAGTAGAGATTAATGCAGCCAAATGGAATCAGTTTGGAGGTTCCTTAAAAAAATGAAAAGTAAACCTGCCGTATGACGCAGCTCTGCTCCTCCTGGGTGTATACTCAAAGTGTCCAGGACTGCCCCATACAGATGTTTGCACATCCATGTTTATTGCTGCTTTACAGAAAGGAACTAGATCCCAGCAGCAGACGACTGGCTAATGAAAATGTGGTGCATACAAGAAACAGACCGTTGCCCAGAAAAACAGAAACAGGAGACTCGCAGGAAAATGGACAGACCTCGCAAGTATAACATGAAGCAAGCTGACACAAACGCAGAAAAACCTGAGCATTTGAACTCCTATGTGGGTCCTAGTCTGTGATGTATACATGTATGTATGTTTGTATGTATGTTTGTATACAGGTCCAAATGCACATACAGACTACATGTGTGTGTGTGTAATCAGGTACAGATGCACATACAGTCTGTGTGTGTGTGTGTGTGTGTGTGTGTATGTATGTAAACAGATACAGGTGCACACACAGACTAATACACACACACACACACACACATAACATGCACACACAGTCTATATATATGTGTGTGTGTGTGTGTGTGTGTGTGTGTGTGTATGTATGTAAACAGATACAGGTGCACACACAGACTAATACACACACACACACATAACATGCACACACAGTCTATATATGTGTGTGTGTGTGTGTGTGTGTGTGTGTGTGTATGTATGTAAACAGATACAGGTGCACACACAGACTAATACACACACACACACATAACATGCACACACAGTCTATATATGTGTGTGTGTGTGTGTGTGTGTGTGTGTGTGTGTGTGTAAATAGGTACAGATGCACGGACAGTCTAAGACATACAGAGGAGACCAAGGGAGAGAGAGATCAGGTGGTGAGGAAAGACTGGAATGTGGGCAAAGGGACACCTGAGTCAGGCCACAGGACACTAAGTTGAATTATTCCTGCTTGTTTGAACTCTGTCAGTTTTTCTCTTTTTGTAGTGGATATGTGAGTTCAGCCTTCTGGGTGTTGAAGTAGCAAGAACTACTTTTGCATTTCAGAAGAATCTGCTGTGGTGTTTTTTTTTGTTTTGTTTTTGTTTTTGTTTTTGTTTTTTCGTGCCAGCGATCATGAAACTTGGGCCTCCTTTTAAATTCCTTTGACCATTAGTGTTCTGGGAAGCAAATGGCAAGTCACTGAATGTATTTGTCACGCTGACCCACTTAGAAAAGGCCCCGCCATCTTACAGAGGAGGAAACTAACTCGGAGAGGTTGAATGACTTCCTCTGCCTCATTCTGGCAAGAGATAAAACGGGGGTTGAAACCCTAGGTTTCCCGGCTGGGAGTTCACCCCCTTCAGGGTTGCACCCGGACGTCTATGGATCTGTGGGAAATCCTACGTGTACCCGAAGTTAGTGAAGGTTAAAATTCTCTGGACACGGGTTTGGAAAGATGGCTCTGCATTTCAGAGCACTGGCTACTCTTGTAGAGAACTTGGGTTTGGTTCCCAGCACCCACATGGCAGCTCACAGCCACCCACGACACTAGGTCTAGAACATCTAAAGCCTTCTTCTGACTTCCTTGGGCACATGGTGCACCTTCATACATTCTCATTTCAGAGTTTAATGTCCAATGACATGGTAATACCCGTGGGAAAATCTCAGGAAATTTTCACAGGAAATTGTAATTCATAATATTTACATGGTCCAGTTAATGTTTATTTAAATTTCAGTTTTCCAAGTACTAATAAAAATTGCCTCTAAACTTCTCCTGAACTGTCTTTATACATTCATAAAACAATTCTCAGCACTTCAATATTGGTTTTATCTATGTCCACCATCTCCAAGCTTTCCAGTTAAATGCTGTGTTTTATCTCTGATACCATTGTCCTGGCTCTTGGACCTGGATATCGGCCTGAGGTTAGTCTGAGTTAATGATTGAAACCTCATAGTGGACATTATTCCTTGTTGCTTGGAAGTATTCTGGGTCATCATTTTCTTCATCCATGTAACACAGATTCTGAAACAACTCAATACAGAGTGAGCTCTAGAAAAATCCCACCTGTGGTTGTTGGTTTCAGACAATGAATAGCCTTGTGCTCTCTGTGTGTGGCTCTAGCCCCCTCTTTATTGGTAACTGTGCTTGTCTTTAAAAAAAAAAAAAAGGCTTATTTATTTTTAATTATGTGTGTAAGTGTGGGTGCATGTACTTACATACAGGTACCCTCAGAAGCCAGAGGTGTGGGATCTCCTAGAGCTAGAGTAGCAAGTGGTGGTGGTCTGCCTGACATGGGTGCTGGGAACGGAACACAGGTCCTTTGTAAGAGTCGCCTGGGCTCTTAAGTGCTGAGCCATCAATTCAGCTGCTTTTCGTTTCTTTTTCCTCAGCACTGACATGCTCAGTCCACCTTGCTGTGCCCCAATCCTCTTTTTACTGTTTATTTAGTACAAAGGCTGGCCTTAAACTTCCAATCCCCATATCTCAGCCTCCCGAGTAGCTGGCATGACAGGCATACACCATTCAGCCTAGCTTTTGTGAGCAAGTTTGATACCCAAGGCCACTCTGTCCTTTATCAGGTCATTCAACCACAGAGCCTGTTTTCAAGGCTCCAGAAACAAGTTTTATTAAGGATGGCTCTGTGTTTTCCCCTGCTGCCTTTTTGGAGTCTGTCTCTCTCTGCATAAATCTTTTTTATCATCTAGAATCTTATGATTCATTCAAAAGAAATTTAGAGCCCAGACTGGCCTTTAAGCAAACGTTTCTAGCAGGCTGACCTATTTTAATGTCGCTTTAAGGTTACTCCAGGCCGGTGAATAAGGACATATTCACGGGCAGCTAAGCTCTCAGCTGTCGATTCCTAAAAGACGACTCAGACTTCTGGAGATCTGAAGTGGTTTTTTTTGTTTCCTTTTTTTTCTTTTCCTTCAGTGATTCAGAATCAGTTTTGCAACTTGAAAGCAGCCTGTGAGTCATGTTTATGGATGGGCTGTGTTTCCTTAGAACAGCCTTCACTTCCTTATGGCTTTAATTCAGCTATCTGAAAGCTGCCATTCACACCCCCCACCCCGCCCCCCATGCTTGAAGGAGGATGCGCTAGCTCTCTGCTCCATGGACCTTGGCTTTGCCACCCGCTTCTGGAAGAGCTGGGACTAGAGACAGGTTCTGTGAGGCCTCACTGGCCTGGGCTTAGAACTCACGATGGAGTGAGTAAGTCGTTTTCAAAGACATGAAAAACCCTCTAAGAATATCAGTGTTACTTTCTAAGTTCTGACCGTGATGAACCCTGCTTCTGGGCCCTGTGCTGCGAGCTCCCATGCCACCTGTGAGCCAGTGTCTGGGCAGCAGGCCTCACCTTCCCCAGAATGCATTCAAACAGGACAAAGCAACACACCTTTGGCTATTTGAGGAAAAAGCTCAGTGGATGCACATTGCCAAGGCTTGGAGAAGAGAGAGAGAAAAACCCCTCTTCAGGTCTAGACAGACCGTTTACAGTATTTCTGGTTTCCTTTTTCTGATCAGGAAATTAGATCAACAGCCTTATAGGGAAAAGTTCATTTGGGTCACAGGTGGGGCCCTTGTTAAAGTGTCGACTGCTTCATCCATATTAGGTAACAGGAACTGCCTGAAAGGCATTTATTTTTCATTCTGTGTCATTCAACCATAAATGACTCAGTTCTGATACTATTTACCAAGCTCAGGCTGAACTCACCAGGGAGGCAGCTGTAAGACTCTCTCATAATGTAACATAATTCAGTCTCCGCAGGGCGCAGGGCGTGCACGGTGGCTGCAGGAGCCGAGGGGCTCCTCTTCATTTCCTGAGACTCATGTCCCCCGGCCCAAGGTAATCAAAAGGATTTTTACCGTCACTAGGTAAAGCTCGTTCACGCTAAGGGGGAATCTCACAAAGTCAGCCTGGAAACCACAGGGACCAAAGAAGCTAATTAGTAACAGCCACAAGCACGGAACCGCAACAGTTGCGGTTAGTCTAAGATTCTGGGCGCCAGGACACCTCATTATTGGCTCTCTTTTAAGTAGGCTTTACTTTTTGGATGATTTTAGATTCATGGCAACATTGAACGGCAAGTGTGGGGTTCCCCAGCACCCCAGCCCCCTTCCCCAGGCACAGTTCCCACTAGTAACGTCTGGTACCGTTGTCACAGCTGACAGACTTACAGTCACACCACTCACCCGAAGGCTTACTCGTCCTACACTCTCTGTGAGTGTTGACCATGTGAGAAGACCCAGGGCACCATTAAGGCATCTCTGCCGACAACCCCTCTTTTTGCACTGACCTGCTCAGAGACTGGAGGTCTTTGTTTCAATTTAATTATCTACATGTGAGCTAAAGACAAAAGCTTAAACAAAATACTAAGTGTTGAGCTTAAATCCTGGCTGTTAAAAATCAGTAACATTTTACTTAAAAATGTAAATAGTAAAATTATCAGCACTGATGTTATCAGTTAATGAATTCATAAAACATGCTTGACATTTACCTTTGCAGTTGCCATGAAAAGAAGTTTATTGATTAAATAAATCACATACTTTAAGTTTTTAGCCAAGGGACAGGAGAAATTTCTCGCAACACTCTACTATCTGGAACTTAGCTAAAATTAAGCAAAACAACAACAAACGGACTGAAAAATCTCCAAGAGGAAGGACAATAAACCACCCTGGATAACCCAAGGCCAGGAAAAAGTCACAATGTAAACTAGAATGTATTTTGAATGGAGTGAAAATGAAATCAGTTTATCAAAATACATGTTATGTACAAGGCTAAAGGCATCCTTAGAGGCTGGAGTGGAGACATGGCTCCACAGTTAATGGCACTACTGTCCTTCCAGAGGACCCTAGTTCAGTTCCCAGGAAGCTACCAGCCATCTGTCACTCCAGTTCCAGGGAATCTGACATCTTCTGGCTTCAAGGGCAGCTGTACACATGGAACAAATGCTCACATAGACACACAAATATACTTGATTTAAAATAAAATAAATCTTTAAAAAATTCTTTAACAAAAGAGCTAGGACATGGCTCTGTGGTGGAACTCTTGCCTAGCACCTTCAAGACCCTGAGTTTGACCCCAGCATTCCCCTCCGGGAGAAATGTTCCACCAAGCACACAGGCTCAGGTGGCTTTATTGGAGGAGGCCATGGTCTGAACGTTCGTTTCTTCTGCAGCTAGTATTGGGTATTAACTGTCATTATAGCATCATTGGAAGGCAGAGGTTTGAGGAGACAATGCACTCCAGTGGACTCTACCCTCCTGCATGGATTAACACCATTGACTTGCAGGCTTTGGCTCCCTTTCTCACTCCAGCTCATCCTGGGCTTGTCATTTCCTCATGTGATGCCTTCTTCTGTGTCGTGATGCAGTCAGATGGCTTTGTCTGGTGCTGGCCCCTGGATCTTGGACTTCTCTCAGCCCTCAGAGCTGTGAGTTAGGACATTTCTGTTCATTGTATTTCTCTGTCTGTGATGCTGTTACAGCAATACAAAATATCCACGGACAGAGGATTATGTTTTATATTCTCCGTGTGGTGTGTGTGTTTGTGGTGTGTGTTTGTGTGTGGTGTGTGTGTGTGTGTGTGGTGTGTGTGTTTGTGGTGTGTGTTTGTGTGTGGTGTGTGTGTGTGTGTGTGGTGTGTGTGTGTGTGGTGTGTGTGCGTGTGGTGTGTGTGTGCGCTAGTGTATATATATGTGTGTGGGCAAGCTAGTGTATATGTGTGTGTGTGCGAGTGTGTGCTAGTGTATATATGTGTGTGTGTGCGCGCGTGCACTAGTGTATATGTGTGTGTGCGCGTGCACTAGTGTATATGTGTGTGTGCGCGTGCACTAGTGTATATGTGTGTATATATGGAGGACAGGTCTATCCTGGGTGTTGCTCCTCAGTAGTTTTTTTGAGGCAGGTCTCTTCCTGAACCCTGGGGACACTGATTAGGTTAGCCTGGCTGGCTGTCATCTATCTATCTATCATCTGTCTATTATCTATCTATCATCTATCATCTATCTATCTATCATCTATCTATTATCTATCTATCGTCTATCTTGTCTTTCTATCATCTATGTATCACCTATCATTCATCTATCAATCTGTCATCTATCTACTTACTGACCTATCATTTATCTATCATCTATCTATTTATATCATATCCCTGGCTATACCGGGGTCCTCCTCCAGTTCTCACACACTGTCTCCAGTTCTCCAGCCCTGGGATTACAAGTATGCGCTGTCACACATGGATTCTGGAAATCAACTGAGGTCCCCATGCAATCTCTTTCCTAACTGAGCTGTCTCTCTAACCCCAGAAGGTAACTGAGGAGGACACCCAAAGTTAAACCCTGACTTCAACATGTATGTGCATGTGCATGCTTACACACACACACACACACACACACCACACACAAACACACACCACAAACACACACACCACACACACACACACACACCACACACA